TTCAAAGAACCACGATTTTAAACAAAAATAGTGACTGACAAAATAAGATACGTAGCGTGATTTATTGCTAAAAGTAACTGAAACAACATAAGAATATGGTCCACTTTGTGTTCCATAGAAATTTTCTGCTGACACGGAATCCGCTAGTTGATCACGTGACTTCATTCGTTGGACTACATTCTAGCAGACGACACTTGGAATTCTGATTACCGCTTGGGATTATAAGGAAATTCGGCCGATAAAAAATTGTGACGTTTGGTAATAAGTGAAATCCGCCATTTTGTATTTGTCAAAGTATACATTAATACATTTTACCTTGCTTGAAACTACTGGATTCATTCTACTAGCTGATATTGTAGAGAAAACCCATGTTTATCAAAACAAACTAATGCGGAGGTCGCGCAAAGGTCGCTCATGTAAATTATTAATCCTTTCTGGAAATCCACGAATTATAGGTTTCCACGAAATTAGGTTACTTGACTGTACAACTAGTCTATGGGACAATAAACCGAAGCCCTGTGTGCTACAGACTGTGCATGTTAAAATCCCCTCGACAGTTGGAAATTGAAAACGTCTAGTCAGATGGGACAATAAACTAAGGCCCTATGTGCTACAGGCTGTGCATGTTAAAGATCCCTCGACAGTTGGAAATCCAAAATGTCTATTCAGATGGGACAATAAACTAAGGCGTCCCAGGCCCTTTTTTCGACAGTTGGAAATTTAAAAAGAGTAGCCTAATGCTGCTGTCCTAGCAAAATTTCCCTCATTGCACACTGCATGGCCTTGTCTGTTTTCACCTATATTCAGTGGTTCACCCTATGAGACAATAAACCGAGGCCCTGTGTGCTCAAGCCTCAAGGCTATGCAGGTACAAAACCCCTTAAATAAGGTCTAGTTTAGAATAGAAAAAGAGTAGGCAAATGCAGCTGAACTGACAAAATTTCCCTCATTGCACACTTCTTTATCATAGCAATACAGAGCTGAAAAGTGGGGCATAAAGTTTTTAGTCGGCTTATTTGAAAAATACTTGACCCACTAAAGCGAAAGTAGATCTCTCACGTGATGAGGTGATTTTCCATTTACGATTTTCACTTCTGGCATTCTGCTCCTAAAACTTACTTGTAATCATTTGCTGGCAAATCCAAATCTTTGAAATTGATTTTCCGAGAGGTGGTTTGGCAGATACATGGGTCGGATGTTTTAACACATTCGTCAGCCAAAATTTGTTGAAAACAAATCAAAAGGGACAGAAAAATTAGAAAATTCCCTTCTTTGGACATGATGAATTTCTTTCTATTTCTAACCCGGAAGTTTATAATCTCGTGACCCAAACACAACACTCGATTATACAAGACGCAAAGTTTTGTGGAGTCTCAATCATCCGGTATTTCTTTGTTGTGCATTTCAACATTAGAAGTCTGGATGTCGGAGACTATTTATGGATAGACTAAAATCGAAATGTACCCAAACTTTAAGAACAAGAACGCAAATGCCGATTTTTTCAATTTTCAAAGTGAAATTCTTATACAATTTTATTATCCTTGCAGTAGAATTTGTGGAATTAATGAAAATTTCAGAATATAGATTAAGAATTAAAACTGGAATTCAAATTTTA